CCTCCCGGCCCCGCCTCCGCCTCCCGGCCCCGCCTCCGTGTCCACGCCTCCAGCGCGACCTGGTAGACGCTGAGGCCGAGCAGAGGAAGTTCCCTAGTCTGGTGTCTGACCTCTCGCCCAGGAGGTCAAACCTGGAGCCAGCATTTCTGTACCCTGCGCTCACACCTTTTTCAACCCGGATGGCGGTGACAGTTAATACTTTCTGAGCGCTTTTACTATGGTCAGGCATTATATTTACACCTAGTCCTCGCAAGACCCTACTGGGAAGGTCATTTGAGAGGAGCAATTCCGGGTCACAAAGGCTAACACCACAAAGCTAGTCCATGGCCGGTTCGACCACAGGCACCCATACTTTTTAAGCCTCAATGGCACAACCAGGTGCGCGGGAAGCGGGCTGCAAACGCCGAGAGTTTTGTCCCGAGCGCAGACATGCGCGGTTACCGGGCAACCAGCGGGCCCCGCCCCCCGGCCGGCTACGGCGCTCCCAGCCTGCCCCGCGCCGCGCGGCGCCGGAAGTGAGTGAGCATTTCCGGCAGCCATCCCCGCGGGGCTGACATCCCGGTTTTTCATCTGTGCCGGGGGTCTTCCTGCTGTCATGAAGGACGTACCGGGCTTCCTACAGCAGAGCCAGAGCTCCGGGCCCGGACAGCCCGCTGTGTGGCACCGTCTGGAGGAACTCTACACGAAGAAGTAAGCTCCGAGCAGACAGACGGGCCCTGGGCCCCGGCGATAGAGGGAGACGGAGGGGGCGGGCGGGCGGAGAAGCGAGCCCTTGATGGGCTGAGGGCGCCCAGACCCAAGTTGCGGGGAAACGGGGACGTGTAGCGACTGGCTGTGCCAGCAGGGTTTGCTGAGGAACCCCGAGTGGCAGGGTCGAGGAATAAGAAGGATGACAGACCACGAGGGCCAAGAGCTGTAGCCAGGATGTTTGGGTCTGAGATTCAGTGCTTCCCTAACGAGGGACTGTGACTGAGGCTTCTGAACTCGTCTACCTCGGGTCTTACTAAGACGGTTCAGGGGAAGCCTTTGCTTTTAGCTCTGTATTCCAGCGAAACAAGCAAACACACTTTCAGAACCAGATTGCCACCCACTTTGAGAAACAGATCTTGGTGATTCGCGCTTAGCCTTGTCATGGTGTAACTGTATCCACAGTTATCTTTCTCATGGTCTGGAGTTGATAAACCAGAGGCTAGTGCAGCTTTGCTCTCTTCCCTATTCATTCTGCAACTGGTTGCACCCCGTCCCATTATCTTTACCTTCCACTGTATTTCTCGCTGGGCTGTGTGCCCCTAGAAAGATCTTAAAGTTTAAGTTTGTTTAGAAACAGGATGAATTGCAGAGCCATTAAATTGTTGCTAAGCACTAATTTCCTTTTTAAATGATAGGATAAATTGCTGGCATTGGGCTGGAGCTATTCCATAGAAAATACATCTCCTGTAGTAACCTCCCTGTTAACCCTAGCATTTAATATAATACCTTTCACATAGATGTTCCATACATGTTTTGATGATGTTTAGCATTCAGCAGCCTTCTGCTATTAGCAGTTTTTGAGAGCAAATTAATGTTTGGCAAATAATGGTTTGTGTTGGATAGCACTTGGTAATTTTCAAAGCATTTCATATGCGTTATTAAATATTAGCATTTAGGTTTTGGATGAAGCGCTATGTCACTGGCCTGGAGGTTTTATATATTAGCTTATTTAATCCTTTATTCATCCTTTTCACAGAGGAGGAGACTGAAGCTCATTTTAATTGTCTTCCCTGAGATACTAGCTAATAGGTAGAAGAGCCAGAATCTCAAGGTAGATATGTATGATTTCAAAGTTCTCGTTTCCAATCAAACCTCACAGTAACCCTCTGAGGTAATCTAGAATAATGTTCTCCATTTCATACCTGGGAAAACTGAGTCTTAGAGAGAAGTTAAGTGATCTTAAAGTGATATAGCCATTCAACAGCAGAGCCAGGAAAAGAACTCAGGTTTATTGCATCTGCTTTAGCATTCTTTCTACTACACAGTAGAGACTGGTTAGTATGGATTTAGCATCTCTTACCAGAAATGCATTGGGGCGGCGGGGCACGGTGGCTCATGCCTGTAATCTCAGCTACTCGGGAGGCTGAGGCAGGAGAATCACTTGAACCTGGGAGGCAGAGGTTGCAGTGAGCCAAGATGGTGCCACCGCACTACAGCCTGGGCAACAGAGTGAGACTCTGTCTCAAAAAAAAAAAAAAAAAGGAAAGAAAGAAGAAGAAAGAAATGCATTGGGGCAAAAGTTTTTTGGATTTAGTTTTTTTTCGGATTTTGAAATATTTTTGATATGTGCTTACCCATTCAGTATCCATGAATCAAAAATCTGAAATCTGAGATGCTCCAATGGTCGTTTCCTTTGAGCCTTACGTTGGTGCTCAGAAAGTTTTGGATTTTGGAGCATTTTGAATTTTGGAGTTTTGGATTAGAGATACCCAACCTATATTTGTGACTTGATAGGATCATCAAGGCTGAAGGTGTCTGTGACTGGATATTAGGTTAGAGGTCTTAAGGGCTGTATGTTTTTCAGGTTGTGGCATCAGCTGACACTTCAGGTGCTTGATTTTGTGCAGGATCCGTGCTTCGCCCAAGGAGATGGTCTCATTAAGGTAAATAATTTGCGATACCAGGTTAGATTATATGAATGTGCTCAAGGACTTTTTAAAATAAGATGGGCTTTTTGCTAAGAATAATAATAAGAAGAAGCTACAATTCTTCAGAAGTCCCTTTATGTCAGGTACTGGTCTGAGTGCTTCACACGTCCTTCCTAACGACGCTGCTCAGTAGATACTACTTTCATCTCACTTTTTTGATGTAGAAGCAAACGTAAGACTTTAAGTAACTTACTATAGGTCACTGCTAATAAGTGGCAGAAGAGGATTCAAACACTAACATTCTGGCTTTTTCTAAACCTCTGGCATAAAGTACTATCTTAAAACATGCCTGAGTATGTTAGTTCATAGGCTTCTTTTTAGTACTCTATTTTTAGAAAACTGTTATTAGATACAAAGTTCAAACCCAGTTAGAGGGTGGAGTAAGGTGTGAGGAAGATTACTATCTGTGGGAATCTTAGATAACTTCCATCACTCCCCTTCTTTAAGCTACACTGACTGCTTGCCCAGACACTTCTGTCCTGGGTAGTGTGGAAGATAAAGCACCTTTTGTACTTCGGTTGAGGGTAGGTGGGTTGGAGGGAGAGTTCTGTGTAGTGTCATGCTGCCTCTGTAATCGAGGACTTTTAGAATTTTTTCAACAGTTTAAAAAAACGCAGTTTCTTTCCTAGCCTTCCCCAGATCCCCTGACACATCCCCACAAATTTACTCACTGGTAGCCTCCTCTTTGAAGTTTTTCCTGACATCTTACTCTCATTCTGAATGAATCAGAGATTCACACCAGCGTTGTAACTGATAGCTTATAATTACAGCTTGAGTCATTTCTCCGGAGTACATTACTTTTATATGCTCACAACAGAGCTTACCACCTTACTACCCCACCACCTGGGCTTGTAAGATTTTCTTGTGGTTTATAGCCATCAATTTGACATTTTCTATTCAGAGGAACTTAAAATCATCTGTAAGCCTGGAGATTTTGCTCAACATTCAGTCTTCTGGATTATGTGGGAAAATGATAAATGAGACCTGCCTTTTTTTTTTTTTTCTTTTTGAGACGGAGTTTCGCTCCTGTTGCCCGGGCTGGAGTGCAATGGTGCGATCTTGGCTCACTGCAACTTCCACCTCCCGAGTTCAAGCGATTCTTCTGCCTCAGCCTCCCAAGTAGCTGGGATTACAGGTGCCCACCACCACAGCTGGCTAATTTTTGTATTTCTTAGTAGAGATGGGGTTTCACCAGTGTTGGCCAGGCTGGTCTCAAACTCCCGACCTCAGGTGATCTGCCTGCCTTGGCCTCCCAAACTGCTGGGATTGTAGGCAGGAGCCACCGTGCCTGGCCTGAGACCTGTCTTAATACTTGTTCCCTGAGGTTCTAAATCATCAGGATAGATGATTCCTAATTGTTTATCTCTATCCTTTGGCTTCTTATCTTTAAATCACTTTTCTACACGTGGCAAAATATGGCCGCAACCTCACGGTAAGGTGATGTTTATTTAAGTTGGCAGATCTGAGTTTACTTTTCCCATGGACAGAATAAACCTTTAAAAATTGTTGGGATCCAGTTGGCATAAGTGTAAATGGATAGTATTTATGAATTTCTAGTATTTGTGAATTTCTAGTATTTGTGAATTTGTAGTCACCAGAAGTAATTTTGACTTTCTGGACTTAGTGGGCTTCTTTTTTAAGGTACTTTTTTAGATCAATAGATGTCAGGGAAGTTCAAACATTTCCCTCTAATAAGGAAAATATCTTTGAAATTGTCTCTTGTAGCAAAAATGCCATTTTAAAAATTTATTTATTATTATTTTTTGAGGCAGAGTTTCGTTCTTGTTGCCCAGGCTGGAGTGCAGTGGCACAGTCTTGGCTCACTACATCCTCCGCCTCCCTGGTTCAAGCGATTCTCCTGCCTCAGCCTCCAGAGTAGCTGGGATTACAGGCTCCCGCCACCACGCCTGGCTAATTTTTGTATTTTTAATAGAGACAGGGTTTCACCATGTTGGCCAGACTGGTCTCAAACGCCTAACCTCAGGTGATCCACCCACCTCAGCCTCCCAAAGTGCTGGGATTACAGGTGTGAACCACCACCTGGCCACCATTTTATTTATTTTGGGGGGCAAGGGGACGGAGTCTCGCCCTGTCACCCAGGCTGGAGTGCAATGGTAGAACTTAGCTCACTGCAACCTCCGTCTCCCCAGTTCCAGCCATTCTCATGCTTCAGCTTCCCAAGTAGCTGGGATTACAAGCATGTGCCACCACACCTGGCTAATTTTTGTAGTTTTAGTCGAGATGGTGTTTCACCATGTTGGCCAGGCTGGTCTTGAACTCCTGTCCTCAAGTGATCCACCTGCCTCGGCCTCCCAAAGTGCCGCATTACCGATGTGAGCCACAGCATCGGGACAAAAATGCCATTTTATTTAGTTGGCTGTTTCTTGTGTGCCTGATTCAAACATGTAATTGCTACAGGGGCGTTTTCATCCTTCTACCTTCATATCCCAGAGGAACCTCAGGCTCTCCTAATCCAAAGTTAAGGTCATTTGGAGGTTCCCTCTCCTACTGTGCCCACACTAGGCACTCTTTCGGCCCAGTTACCCAGGCCATAAGCTCAGGGGTTATTGTCAGCTCTCCTTCTCTGTGACCAGCCCACATCTGAGTGAGTCTGCTTCAAGTTACCCCTAAATCTCTCTCAGAGTATTCATCCATCCTCATTACTGTTGCTCCTTCACGCTCCTGTCTTGGCCACTACTGGCCTCTGACTGTTCTCTCTGTCTCTTTCACCTGCTGTCCTCTCTGCCCCAAGCATGTTTCTAAAATAGAAATGATCATGTGGGTCCTCTGGTTCAGCCTTGCACTCTGGACAGAGACCAATCTTCAGTGCTTCCTAGTCTGTGTCCCTCAGAACTACTCCTGAAACATAATGTATTTTTTTCGTCAGTGCTTTTGCACATGTTTGTTACTGTCTGGAATGTTCTTCTCTCAGTTTCTTCCTCTTCCACACCACGTGGCCACCTCTCTAACTGTGCTCATTTTCCCGAAACTCAGTATTGCCACTTCTGCAGTAATGGTCTTTGAAGCTTCTCCCTTTGGCTGATGCACTTCTGTGCTTTTTCTTTCTTTCTTTTTGCACTTAAACTCACTGTATTGTCATTTATTTGTTTAAAGACTGTCTTCAGTAGACCAGGAGCTCCTTGAAGACCCATCATTTGTCTTACACGTTCTGTGCTGTACTACCTAGCGTGGAGTCTGAGGAAGTGCTCAAGTGTGCTGAGTGGCTAAGAAATTTCAAAATGGCGCACAATTAGCTTTAACCTTCTAAAATCTGAAGGAACTCCATTCCGTTTGATTAGCGAGCATTTCTTTTTTGTTTCAAATTTTATTTCATTAATAGGTGAACAAAATGTGTATTTCAAATCTAATTGAAATTTATCTGAAATATGTTTACGCAGAAGATAGATATAAGATTTCAAGTAACTTATTGTACAGGCCATTGTCCGTTTTAAAATATTTTCTTCCAAAAAAAATGCATTGAAAGTCAAAAAACTTCTTTTATACTCCATAAAAGTGAGGTGCAAACTTCTGATATAAGTTTATTTCACTGTCAACTCTGATAAAGATGGGAGGCACAAGGGTTCACAGTTCAGGTAAATAATGCAAACGAAATGCTTCTGTTTTCCTTTGATACAAATTAGAAGCCTCCATTCAGGTCTCTTAATGGCGGCTACTGCGTACTTCAGGTCTCTTAATGGAGGCTACTGCGTACTTCAGGTCTCTTAATGGCGGCTACTGCGTACTTCAGGTCTCTTAATGGAGGCTACTGCGTACTTCAGGTCTCTTAATGGAGGCTTTTGCATACCAAGTAGTACCACATACTTGGTGCTGATACTACATTATGTCTTTTTCTTTTTCGTTTTTTTTTTTTTTTGAGATGGAGTTTCGCTCTTGTTGCCCAGGGTGGAATGCAATGGTGCGATCTCAGCTCACAGCAACCTCCGCCTCCCAGGTTCAAGCGATTCTCCTGCCTCGGCCTCCCAAAGGCACGTGCCACCACACCCAGCTAATTTTTGTATTTTTAGTAGAGACGATGTTTCACCTTTTTGGCCAGGATGGTTTCAATCTCTTGACCTCGTAATCCGCCCGCCTTGGCCTCCCAAAGTGCTGGGATTACAGGCGTGGGCCGCTGTGCCCGGCTTGTTACGTCTTTTTCTTTCCTTTCCCTTTTTTTCTTCCCTCTCCTTGTTGAAGACTTTGGTCACTGCCTCCTGTTTTTCCTGTTTTTTTGTGTCCTTGTTTTTAGTTGAGGTATCGTTTATGCTGCACACAACGTTACTGACTTCATGTGATGGGAAATGTCCAAGACAGAGGCTGCCATCTCCCGTTTGAGCTGGGCCCAGACTCTACCTTTATATTAGACATCACGATTCCATTCTCTAGAGTACATTTTATTTTTCTCAAGAAATGCATTAAGTCCAACTGCTGAACATAGGTCTTGAACCTCTAGCTGTAGGATTTTCAACAGACTTACTTATGGGGTTTCACCTTCCTTCCACAATGGTCTTCTTATTACTTCAACAAACAGGATAGATACAAATAAACCTGTCCTGGTCGGCTGGAGACCACACAGCGGCACAAGCCGTCTTCACAAGCATCCAAATACCAACAGCCCAGAAGCCACAGGGAGAAAACTGGGGGAGCATTTCAGTCTGATGTCTATTTAACTTACAATACCTGGAAGAAAGAATATAGGAATTTGTCTGGAGGTTCTTATCGGTCCGTACCCTAATTCCCAAAGCTAGAAGAAACCTAATGTTCCTTAATAATCTGTTGATCATTTACGTGAATGTAAATAAGCCCTAATATGGTCTCCTGTCATTCTGCAAACATGCATTGCTTACTGTGTGATGGGCATTGTGGTTTGCACACTCCCAACTTGATAGCATTGATGCAGCTTTTGTACCAAAAATAGTATCTGGGGTCTTCATTTTGCAGAATACAAGACATCCTGTAATTTCTCTCCGTGTTTTGGTTTCACAGCTTTATGAAAACTTTATCAGTGAATTTGAACACAGGTAAAACCCTTTCATCCCTTTTTTACTTTGCAAATGAGTACTTTGATACTCATTGGTACTCAAAGACTGGTGGTTTTCATTTCAGGGTGAATCCTTTGTCCCTGGTAGAAATCATTCTTCATGTAGTTAGACAGATGACTGGTAAGTCTTACTTTGTTTTATAAAGGAGCAGATCCAAGTGGTAGTTAAAATTATCTTGAAATATAAGTTAACTGAACTTTTGTGGTTTCTGTATCCAATATTGTATTTTTATTCTACTTTATGGTCAAAACCTAAAGATTATCCTGCCTAAAGATGTCTTGGTTAGTAGAAACCAGTCTGTTGATGGTCCTTCTGACTGTTCTTTCTTTTCCAGATCCTAATGTGGCTCTTACTTTCCTGGAAAAGACTCGTGAGAAGGTAAATGTGAGATGTGAGCAATACCTTTTAGGGTATGGATGACTTACAGTTTGTGTCCATGCTCACCGTCCAGACCTTGAGAGACCACACGGTCTCTAGTCATCAAGGTTGCGTTAATGTGCAAGTAGCTGGCTTCCTTTGTTAGTCAGCTGCCCACGTTCTGAGGTTTCTTGTTTTTGTTTTTGATGTCTTAGGTGAAAAGTAGTGATGAGGCAGTGATCCTGTGTAAAACAGCAATTGGAGCTCTAAAATTAAACATCGGGGACCTACAGGTTACAAAGGTGAGCTCACCATATACAGAGTTCTCTTTGGATTAAAATTGTTTAAAACTGTAGGAAAAAAAAACCTATTTTTGTTCTTTACTATTTATTTTAAAACATTTTTAAATTAGAGAAAAGTTACAAAAATAACACAAAGAACTCCTATACCTCAACCCAAATTCCCCATTGCAAACCTTTTTTTTTTTTTTTTTTTTTTTTTTTTTTTTTTTTCTGAGATGGAGTCTCACTGTGTTACCCAGGCTGGAGTGCAGTGGTACGATCTCAGCTCATTGCAACCTCCGCCTCCTGGGTTCAAGCGATTCTCCTGCCTCAGCCTCCTGAGTAGCTGGGATTACAGGCGCCTGCCACCACATCCGGCTAATTTTCTTGTATTTTTAGTAGAGACAGGGTTTCACCATGTTGACCAGGCTGGTCTCGAACTCCTGACCTCAAGTGATCCCTCTGTTCTCAGCCTCCCAAAGTGCTGGGATTACAGCCGTGAGCCACTGCGCCCAGCCCCCCATTGCTAACCTTTTACTACTTTTGCCTTTGTGTGTGTCTGTAGCTTTTTTCCAAAACCACTTAAGAGTAAGTTGCTGATACAATGCCTGCTGCCCTTAAACAAAAGAGCAGTCCCGTGTGACCACAGCACATCCGTCTAATAATGACTCCAACAGCCTCAGTCAGCCCAAAGTACATTGGTTTTCCCTGACCAAGGTCAGCCTACACACCACTGGCACGTCATGTGCTGTTCCTCCACCTTCCTTCTGCCTCCTAAATGTTGCTGAAGTATCCTATATATTTTTATGTCTTTCTTATGTTCAATTATGTTTTCGTGCAGTTTGGGAGACAGGTATGGATGTGAGTGGCAGTGAAACCGACGTGGTGGGTCCACCTTGTTTAACCAGAGCCTTTGTGTGTTTGTGTTTGTTTGCTAACCATAATGTTAAAGAAAATATTGGGGTTAGGTTAAAAGTGTTCCTGTCCTCATTGCCCTGAAAAGATACTTTCTATTGTTTATTGTTTCTCAGTCTTCACCCATGTGCATACTTAGTGCATTTTATTTTGAAGTATTTTAAGACACGCTGGAAGCTGTAAGTCACAGTCCACAATGCTGTAATAGGCGTCCATGTGCCCCAGCCAGCTCAGGAAGGAATGAAGCCACAGTCAGGGCCCCAGTACCCTTCAGACCACTCTTCTCCCCCAGCCAGGCTCCCTCTCATACCCATGCATTTCCTTGTGCTTCATTAAATGGGGGTGTGTAACTCAAGTGTTTTAACATTGGCTCAGTCCTGGGTTCCAGAGTCCTGTGGGTATGTGTAGCCAGTGTCCAGAGTCCTGTGGGTATGTGTAGCCAGTGTCCAGAGTCCTGTGGGTATGTGTAGCCAGTGTCCAGAGTCCTGTGAGTATGTGTAGCCAGTGTCCAGAGTCCTGTGGGTATGTGTAGCCAGTGTGCGTGTACTCCGGTACGGAATTTCGCTGTGTAAGTGTTCCACAACATACATATCCTGTCTCCTGTTGAAGAGGTTTAGGGCCAGGTGTGGTGGTCACACCTGTAATCCCAGCACTCTGGGAGACTGAGGCAGGTGGATCATGAGGTCAGGAGTTCAAGACCAGCCCAGCCAAGATGGTAAAACCCTGTCTCTACTAAAAACACAAAAATTAACCAGGCGTGGTGGCAGGTGCCTGTAATCCCAGCCTCTTGGGAGGCTGAGGTTGCAGTGAGCCAAGATTGTACCACTGTACTCCAGCTTGGGCAACAGAGCAAGACTCCATCTCAGAAAAAAAAAAAAAGAGAGAGAGAGATTTAGGTTTTTTTTTCACTATCACAAACAATACTGCTATAAGTATTTCTGTGCGTGATCCCTTGTGTACGTGGGCAGAATCTCACCAGGATATATGCCTGGAGACTATAGATACAAACTGTATGCATCTCTGCCTTTCCCAGATATACGCTCCCTCAGCGCCATACGAGCACTCTGGAAGCTCCGTATCTTCAACACCTGATAGTTTCAGGCTCTAACCCTTGCTGATCTAATAGAAGTGAAATTATATCTTGTTGGGGGTTTAATTTGCATTTCACAATTACTAGTGGTTTATTGGCCATTCTGTTTGTGTCTCCAGATCTGTCAATTGCCTGTTAATGTCTTTTGCCCATTTTTGTACTGTGTTGCTGTCTCCTGACTGATTTGTAAGCGTTTTTATATTTCCTTGGTCATAATTGCTGGTGGGTTATACATGTTGTAAATATTGCTTCCCAGTCTATAGCTTGTCTTTGTACTTTTTTCTGTGTTTTGGATTAAGTTTTCCATGTTAACGTAGTCACATTAATCAGTCTTTGCCTTTGTAGTTTGCGCTTTTCATCTCACAACATATTACTTTAAAAATCTTCGCCAAGCACAGTGGCTTGAACCTGTAATCCCAGCTACTGCGGAGACTGAGGTGGGAGGATCGCTTGAGGCCAGGAGTTCAAGACCACCCTAGGCAACAGAGTGAGACCCTGTCCCTAAAAAAATGAAATAAATAAACTTTTAACTTAAAAAGAGAGATGATTTTGCTTTCCATATGTAGGAAACAATTGAAGATGTTGAAGAAATGCTCAACAACCTTCCTGGTGTGACGTCGGTTCACAGTCGTTTCTATGATCTCTCCAGTAAATACTATCAAACAGTCGGAAACCACGCATCCTACTACAAAGATGCTCTGCGGTTTTTGGGCTGTGTTGACATCAAGGATCTACCAGGTAACCTAGGCCATTAAAGTCCATGTCACACAGGAGCGTATTCTCCAAACTTAGCATCTTTGAGGTGCTTGAGATGACAGTTCTCAGAAATTACTAAGCGGGGCTGGGCGTGGTGGCTCGCACCTGTAATCCCAGCAGTTTTGGGAGGCTGAAGCAGGCGGATCATCTGACGTCAGGAGTTCAAGACCAGCCTGGCCAACGTGGTGAAACCCTGTCTCTACTGAAAATACTAGCCAGGTGTTATGGTGGGTGCCTGTAATCCCGGTTACTTGGGAGGCTGAGACAGGAGAATCTCTTGAATTCGGGAGGTGGAGGTTGCAGTGAGCCAAGATTGCACCACTGCACCCCAGCCTGGGTGACTGAGTGCGACCCCATCTCACCAAAAAAAAAAAAGAAATTACTCAGATGGATTCATCCTGTTCTGAAGAAAAAATGGGAAGATTTGTATAAACTTTAGTTTCTACATTGTATTTGTCTCCAGCATTTAATTTACATGAAAATGAGGCTTTCTTCCTAGCTCCTTTACTGTTCCTTCTCCAGTTCCTTATTGTTACCTAAGTCACAGGTTTTTGTAGGAAGTCCCATGACGTAAATACCTGCTGAACCCACCCCACGCGCCCTTCTGCTGCAGAATAAAGGATGCTTGGA